TCGATTCGGGAAATAATATGTGACCGTATCTACCTGATGCATACGATGCCGTTAATGTTAATTTAGAATTCCCATGACCCAACCCTTGCGTCCACCAACTTGCGGACCCATCAAATGTCTCTCCTAGATTAGAATCGTCCTTGTAACTTATTAATAAATCTTTATACGCGGAATCAATCACGTTAACCCCATCAACTTTATCGTGTTGGGTGAATGGCCACCAAACTATTTCTTTGGCTTTCTCCTCCATTTCATCCAATCTATTAAATCTATTGTCATGCCATTCCTCCAATGTACTAATTATGGCTTTAAATTTTTCATCATTTGAATCAAAATATGCCTCTAACCCTTTGACATCTGATAAATCATTTTCCGATTTTGGTGGTGGTAATGAAATGGGAAATATTTTAGGCGTAATAATAGACGAATTTTGATTCTCATTAAAATATTTTTCAATGAATAAATGATTATTATATCTTTCATTATTAAATAATAGTAAGGTTGGAATGTCATATCCTCTCAGTGTTAAAGATTCATATGATGATATTGTCGTACTTATTCCCCCTAAATTACTATCTCCCACTAAAATTATCGGTAACCTCAATGCTCGATAAAACTCCGATTGTATGGTACCTAATCTCGCATAACAAATGATTAGATGATGTTTTGGACCGAGTGATGATTCAATTCACGTACTTTTTACATTTACCTGACATGATCGGACTATTTACGCCGCCAGCTGTTTCCAAAAATAACCTCCCTCCATCTTTCAATGATTCATTATAAGATTCCGATATAGATCCTTTTATTCTATTCAATACATCTTCATCTTTAGGTATCGGATTATTAATCGCTAAATGGGGTGATACCGCTTTCTCGTATTTATACAATGACTCAAGTTTAATTAAACTATTAAACTTTTCCGGAAGATATGTTTTCACAAATCGTAAATCGTCATCTTTTGGATATCCCGTTTGAATTGGTTTTAAATAATAATGATTTTTGTACTTTTGGGATTTTAATACTGACGCTCTTATCAATCCTGTCGAAAATATTGTTTTCCCTAAATTTGTGTTTGACGAAAATATTTGATAAATTTGAAATTTTCTCGTCGGAAAATAATTATAATACATTTTTCAGGAGGAAAAAAAAGGAAAAAAAAAAAGTTTAAAATAGTCTAAATTTGTCTAAATTTGTCTAAATCTGACTAAATTTGTCTAATAGTCTTAATAGTCTAAATAGACTAAATAACTTAAATAGTATCGATATATTTGTAACTCAAAAAGGAAAGAATATTGTTTACTGAATATTGATTTTCCTTTTTTACTTTTTTAAGAAAACGATTTAAGAAAAACAACATTCAGGAGAAAGATATTTACCTAGATTCTCATCTTTTTTTGTTTGTTTATTTTTTAATTTTTTTTTTTTATTGTATAATATATTTTCTCTTCCTCTCTCTCTTTTTAATATAAAATCTCACCTAACTTTATCAAGGTTGAAGAGAATTTTGTGAAAATGACTACTTTATTCACTGTAAGTATTCTTATCGTGATATTCGATGTAAACGCGTTATCTATCTAAAAATTTTTCCCTTTTTTTTTAGATAGGTGCAGAGTACGAAAGGGAGAGGCTAGAACGTATTGAACAAAATCGTGCTATCTTAGCAAAGCTTGGTTTGGATAGTGATAATTTGCGTAAATTATCACTTAAAAAACCTAAACCCGTTAAGAAAACGTATATCGTTAATAATACCCCTGAAAATAACAACGGAAGCAGTGAAGGCGAGCAAGAAAAACGAAGACCTTCTCGTCGTAGTGAAAGAATTAAAGAAAAGGTATATATATATATATTATATATATATATACATTTTTTTTTTTTTTAAAAAAAAGTGGGTTACACTCTTATCGACGCGTCCTATAAGTATAAGTTTATCATGTATTTATTAGACTCCAAGATATAATCTTCGTAAGAATGTTAACGCACCGCAGCTATATACTTCAGTTCCTAAACCTTCCAAGGTACCATTATTCGCTAACCAAATTTGTTCTTGGGAAATATTTCTAACGCGAATTAATTTGATTGCTTCTTGTTCAGACATCACGTGACTCACCTCATAAAATTAGATATGTAGAAAAATCCTCCTCTAGAACTTATAGAAGAATGGCTTCGCGTAACCACCTCGGCAGGAGAACTTATGGTGGTCGTATTTATGATTCTGAACATGGTACAACTTGTCATCAATGTCGTCAGAAAACAATTGAAGATAAGGTTCAATGTACCGTAAGTATTACCACGTTAAATGAAGAATTTAAATTTTTTTTTTCACTTAGAATTTTTATCACAAAAAAAAAAATTTATACATTTTCTATAATAGAATGTTCTTCAAGATGGATCGTTATGTAAAGTAATGATGGATGAGCGATGTTTGGTCGGCAGGTGAATATGTGACCATCTAATTTCATGTTGTCATCGACCAAATATATTTGAAAATTTGACGATTTTTTATTTCTTATTATTATTTTTTTTTTTCATTTTTTCAAATAGATATGGACAAACCTTACAAGATGCACGCGAATCAGGTGAATGGAGTTGTCCCAAATGTAGAGACGTATGTAACTGTTCTTTTTGCAGGAAAAAGAAAGGTTTGTCTGCTACAGGCATTCTTAAACATGTCGCCTTGAAAGCAGGTTACAATTCTGTTATGGAATATTTAGGTGATGCTTAAAGAAACGAAATTTTTGGCAGTTTTGAATTTGTTTTTTTTTTCTCTTTTGGTAGAAGTAGAATAATAAGTTCCTTAGTTTAAAGCAAATTTTTCCTTGAACTTTTTAATAAAGTGAGAATTCTTTAAAAATTAAGATTTGAAATTAAATTTCGATTTTGATCCGTAATTGTTGTAGTTGCTTTTTATATTCATATTCTTTTTTTAAGAATGATAAGAACAATAGCTTATAATAAATTCATTAGCTAGCTATTTGAAATATTCTCACTCTTAATATATTACTTTTTTAATTTTATTTAAATAATAAAGTCGCATTTTTATCATAAAATTCTCTTTTAAAAGGATTTTTAACTTTATTATAATATATGAAATTAGACTTATATAATATTACTATTATAACTTTCTTTTATCTTTAATTGTAATATTTATTTATATGTTTATTCTTTTAAATGTTAAACTTAATATTTTTTTTGATTTATTATCAAAATTTCTTATACTTTAAAAAGTAATAATTTATTTATTAAATAAAAAACACGTGTAATCTGATTGATTAACTTATTCAATATTTATTAATTTATTCATTAATATAAAAAAGTATATTAAATAAAAAATTATTTTATATTATTTAGCTTATTTTTATAATTTATTAATTGTTAAAAAAATATTTTATAAATTATATCTTAAATATTTAAAAAATATTGCTTTATTTTTTTATTTAATATTTTCTTATAAACTAATTAGTTCTTTATATAATAAATTTTGATGTTTCTTTTTTTTTTTTTTTATTAATTATAATAATTATTAAATAATATTTTTCAATCTAAAAAAGAAATTAATAAAAATATATTCTTTTAAATAAAAACAATTATTTTTTTTATAAAGAAATAATTAGAACTCTAAATAGGTTAGTTTAGATTAGATCAATCAAGTTACCTAAACTGAAAGAATCAGGCTAGGTTAAACAAAAATCTGACTTAGTTTTAATTATTATTTAATTTGACTTGATCTAACTTGACAAATTATTCAAGAAGAATATAATTTGTATCATTTTAATTGAATAATAATAAATCATTTAAGAAAAATAATAATATATTATTTTAATTAAATATTTATAAATTGTTTAATAAAAATGATAATATATTATTCTAATTAAACAATAATAAATCATAAGATATAGATGAGGAATGAAACCTTTAATAAATAGTTAAAAATTAGATAAAACTATATTAATATTATAATAAAGGATTTGATAAAATTCTTTCAATACGATAAAAGCTAAAACTGTCAAAACTATATTAATATATAAGAAAATATAACAAATCATTCTAATTGAATGATAATGAATCATTTAATAAGAATAATAATTTATCATTTTAATTGAATAATTATGAATTATTTAAGAAAAATAAAAATATATTGTTTAAGAAGAATGATAACAAATTATTCTAATTTAATGATAATAAATTATTTAAAAAGAATTTGAATTTTATCAATTTATCAGAAAAATTTTAAAATTATATCTATCAAATTTAAAATATCAAAAGTTTTAAAATAAGTCAAATTTTATAAAATTTGAATTATTAAAAACAGATTTAATTTTGTGAAAAATTTTTTATCATATTACATTATGAATTTGACTAATTGTAGCTCAATTTTATCAAAATAAATTTATATTGCAAAGTTATCATATTTAATAAAAATAAAAAAATTAAATAAAAGTATTTATAAAAGTATTTAAAGTTATTACTAAGATTGCTAGATGAAACTTAAAGGTTTTGTAAGTCATCTAAATAGAAAAAGTTAAAATTTAGTGAAATTATATTAAAACTTTATTAAAAAATCTGCGAAATTCTAAAAAAGGTAAAACTATATCAAAGCTTATAAAAATGTGAAACTATATCAAAACTTTAGTAAAAATTAGTAAAACTATAGTTAAGATGTTTTGCTAAATTCAAAATAACCTTAATCCTTAGTATTTTTAGTATTTTTAGTAAAAATAAAGTTTTTAAAAAAATTTAATTTAGGAATTTAAGAGCGTCACTAGTATTATAAGTTTTATATACTAATCTATAACAAAACTAGTAATATATTTATCATTTTTCTTGAAATTATTAAGTTATTTTATTTTTTTTTGATTAGTATTACTAGTATCATAATTAAAAGAATAATAAATTTTAGGGAAAAAATTGAAGTTTTTCTATGATACCTATAGGATATATATTATGATAATATGTAATGTATATATATTATAAAAAAAATAAAAAATGTAAAAAAGTTGAAAGACTCAGATTTTTCTAGTAATATTTGTGATATCAGTAATATCTATCAAAAAAGATTTCTTTCAGTATAAAATTTTCAATAAGCTTATTATTTGCATTATTAATTCTATCACAGGTTTTTTTATATACTAATCTGTAATATCTATCAAGTTGTATTATTTTTGTTTATTTCTAAATTACCTATTGATACCTGTGTTAAAGTCAGCTTTATCAGTTTTTTTTTTATTATAGTATTTCTTTGCTCTATATTTTTTATATGATTATCATAATATTCATATTCAGATCTAGTTATCTTATTATATTCTTTTTCTTGGCAAGAAACTTACTTAGAATTCCTATAATTTTTACATCTATCTAGATAATAGCAAGGCTAATTGCATACTTCTCCAATCCTAAGAATATATGAACAATTATAAAATACTATTTATATATATTGATTAATAATCTCAATAAATTAATTTTATTTAAACTTTTTTCTTATAAATAATATATTTTGAGTTTTGGTATAATTATAAATTTTTTGAAAAAATAATCTAATCTTATAGACTTTCTTAACATGCTTGTTTCAATTTTTATCCAAAAGCTAAAAAAGATAAAATAGAAGGCCAAGTGATTCACTTTTTCAGTAAAAAGATATTTTAACTCAAAATAATATAATTAAGAAAAATGATGAGAAATTGATCACATATCTTGAAAATATCTTATTTAATCACTAAAAAATACCATTTATAGCTATTAATAATAAAAGATTAAATTAAAATATAAATAGAAAGTATTGCTATGTATTATATTTTTATAGTTCTTTCATTAATGACCAAAAAGTGATAATAATCCTTTTAGGTATTCGGGTATTTTTTGATATTCTTATATCAGACAGGAAGTCTTTAAATAATTGTAAAATAAAAATTAAAGATATTTTATCTAACAATATAAAGTCTTTAAAATAGAGCATATTAAAGCTTTTTCTTTTTGTAATTATCACATAGAAAAAAAGTTATATTTATGAATTTATATAAATGATATTGAGAAAAGAAAGAAAACTATCAAAGCCATTTAAGATAGTAATTTCAAAATTGCATCAGGTAATATGTACTTATTTTATTGTAAGGTAGCTCGAGAAAATAGAATTCAACTTTTTTGATAATTTATACTAAGTAAATATATATATAAGAAAGAGATTGGCTCTTTCTACTTACATATATTTTACGTATCTAAAAAAGATTTTTAACTGATTAAAGACCTTACTATAATAGCTAATCACTTTTCTACTTTAGCTCTCTTATAAGATTATATTCTAATTCTCATGTAAAATATAAAAATATATACATTTTAAAGTTTAGACAAATTTACAGAAGTTCTTAATTAAGATGATATTATTTTTATGATTTGTATAATACTATAGAGTTCTGAATGAGTCAAGTTGAGTCGAGTTTAAAGACCAACTCTATTCAACTCATTTTTTTCGAGTCGAGTCGAGTCAAATTTATTTTATAAA